AGTCAAACCTCGGATTGTGAGTAACTTCCTCAAGTGTTCAGCAAGAGGAGCACACATTTCTAATAAATTTTAACTGTACCTGATGCGGAATGTCACGTGATCATAACTGAGCCAATGGTTCTTCTCCCCCTTCCCCCATCTCTGCCACATTGTGGGTGATTGTCTCCCATGCCCGGATGCCCGGTCTCAGGCTGTGGTGTTTGACAGAAATCGGTGATTTTTCAGAACATTGGAAGGTGCCCACAACTGACATTAGTGTATCTTTTGTCCCTTCAAAGCACCTATGGATGGTCCTTTGCCTTTCCACACAAAAGTAAGCTTAGGAATGCTTTGCTTCATTCTAGGTCAGGCTGCCTGCAGACACAGACCCTTTCTTCCGCTGTCTTATTACGAGTTACATTAAATACAGTCTATGACAAGAATTTATTAATACTGTACTGTAGTCAACATCCATTAGCGATAGTGAAACTCATCCTAAACAAAAACCCTCCTCTCTCTTGTCTCCCTCACACCAGCCACGAAGGTTTTTAAAGGTAAGTTCAGGTTAATTTGTTTATTTTTCTTTATATTTTGTATTTTCTTTATTATCTTGTATTATATTACAGTATTGTGATCATCTTATATGAATATTTTGGGGCTGTGGAATGAATCCTCTGAGTTTTCATTATTTCTTCTGGGGGAAACTTGCTTTGATACATAAGTGCTTTGTATTACAAGCATGTTTCTGGAATGAATTATGATCACAAAGGTTTTACTGTACTTATTAAGAATACTCATGAAACACCAACCTGCTAAACACAACAAAATGATTTCATTTATGCCTCTGGGAGACACAAATTCTGGGAGGTTGGTTCTAATATTATCTGATTTTACAATTGAGGAAACAGCATCAAGGTGGTAAAGTCTCTTGTACATCCAGTATGTACAAGTAGTAAAAACCAGGATCCAAATCCAAACTAGCTGATCTCAGAGCCTTTTCTTGGGAATCACTAATGGAGAAGCTCCTAATCCTCTACCTGAGAATGATTTGGTGGTGATTTCATCAAAAAAGGCATTAGAACACCAGTAAAAGCCTTAGAGACAAATTGGGATATTAGGACATCTGTTAACAATGCATCACATTGATGAGTTAAACTAACATTTATGTAGTTGACCCATAAGCATTAGGTTTTTGAAGTACACAGGTCCACTTCAGATTTTTTTTTTTTGTAAATACAGTCCAGCACTGTAAATGTATTTTCTCTTCCTTATGATTTTCTTAATATCATTTTCTTTTCTCCAGCTTACTTTATTGTAAGAATACAGTATATGGTACAACATACAAATTATATGTTAATTGGTATGCTTATGTTATGCTTATGTTATCAGTAAGGCTTTTCTGGTCAATAGTAGTTAAGTTTTGGAGAGGAAAAAGTTATATGTGGATTTTTGACTGTGTGTGAGGGGGTGTGTTGGTGCCCCTAACCCCTATGTTGTTCAAGGGTAGATTGTAATCATTTTCATAAATCCCTAAATGTATATGAAACTCTTAACAACCATTCTGGATGGAAGCTCTTTGTAAACTAGGCATAAAAGGGTGTTTATTTCTATGTCACCCAAAAGCATGCCATATCCCTCACTGTCTCAGCCAACTTCAGTGACACCCTCCCCCCGCCACCCCCCCCCCCCCCCCCCCCGGGAACATTTGGGGCAGGGAAGTGTTTACTGAACAACTGGATGGCCTTTCAGTCCACACCTGCAAAACCAGCTTCTAATCTAGATTCTAGATCATGTTCTACAAGTGGACATCAGACTTGTGGAAGTCAGTTGGAATTCAGGACCAACCAGCCTCCCTAAAACCACTATTCCTACCCAGTCTGGGTGGGAGGAAGAAGGCTGCCCTACCCTTCTATGAGCACTTCTTCCAAAGGTGGTCACAGGCTCCTAAGTTCAAACAAGAACTTCCTGTCTGACAAGTCAAATTTTACTAGGGACCTGGGTGATGTTACCCAAACTCATAAAAGGAAGATGACCTTGAGTAATTCACAGACCCTGTCTTTTAAATAGTTACACAGTTATTTTGATGCAAATTAAAAATGATTAAAAAAGAACATTAATCTCCAATCATATGCTAATTTTGCTTCTACTGAAGCTAAAGAAGGTACTATAATTTTTAACAAAATATATTAAGTAAACAACAAAAGAGATGTCAGAAGGTATTAGAGCCTCCACAGAACCTGCCAGTTGGACTCCTGGCATATGTGATCACCTAAGAATCCGCTTCTACCTGCCAGGTTGTATAACTCCTGACCACAGTCAGAGGTATTGCATAACTTCCATTATGAAAAGGTTCTGCAACCTTGGAACCAGTTAGTACCCTGTGTCACTGGCCCCAACAGAATTAATTCAACCAAGATCAATTTTCCCAGTGGTACTTGACTGAAGACCTGAATGATGATACACAAAGCTTTATAAGGAAGATGATTTGAGGCGATTTACAGACTAGTCTTATTCCTACAGGATTTTCTAGAAATGAATACAGGAGCTTTGTATTTTAACCAAGGCTCAGTTATTTAATTAACAATGGAAAGGGAAAAAATCTGCCTCTCCTATTTCATATCTCTTTTAGTTAGTATTTGGTTTTGCTTTTTTTATCCTCAAGAATAACAGAACAACTCCTTATTTTCTTTATACCTCTACATTTTTTAAACTCAATAAATATTACAGAATAATAACAACACAATTTATGGCCCATAAATATTTCTGTATTCCGAGCAGCCCTGGGCATCCATTTCTAAGAATAGTAAACTAAACAAACAAAATTGTGTAATTGAAATCAGCTTTCCCCAACCACCACAGTATCTTCTCGTTTTTTGATGATAGAAGAGGTTCATTTATTATGTGGCTACTCTGTGCTAAATACATAATATACAATTTATTTCATTGATAAATATATTGACATTTCCCCATATACTACCTTTTATTATGATATGACTATTCCCTAAGAAATGCCCTGCACAGCTCACAACCCAAATATCAGGGAAGTAACAACAGAAGCACTCGAGCCCCCTGACCTGTCTCCCAGACTGCACATTTGCTCATCTGTTTCATCCTATACATTGGCACAAGAATCATCTTTTTAAATGGTCAGTTATGGGGCGCCTGGGTGGCGCAGTCGGTTAAGCGTCCGACTTCAGCTCAGGTCACGATCTCGCGGTCCGTGAGTTAGAGCCCCGCGTCAGGCTCTGGGCTGATGGCTCAGAGCCTGGAGCCTGTTTCCGATTCTGTGTCTCCCCCTCTCTCTGCCCCTCCCCCATTCATGCTCTGTCTCTCTCTGTCCCAAAAATAAATAAACGTTAAAAAAAATTTTTTTTTAATGGTCAGTTATTTGGAGCATGTTATTTCTTTCCAAAGAATCGCACTTCTTAGCCTCCTGAGTCCAAGAGGCATTTCCAGTTTTATCTTCTGGTGCTCCTGGACATCAGCCCCCAGCCCCTCCACACTCACACTCCTGTTCCAACCCAACTCTGTCTGGCAGAACACTATTATTCCCAAGGACTAGACAATATTTTTTCCAGCCATGGACTTCACCTGGCCTGAAATGCCCTCTTCCTCTCTTTCTGCCTGTGTAGCTTAATTGTAAGGATTGGAGTTCTGGAGGGGCGCCTGGGTGGCTCAGTCAGTTAAGCGTCTCAGGTCATGATCTCGCAGTTCGTGGGTTTGAGCCCCATATCAGGCTGTGCTGACAGCTCAGAGCCTGGAGTCTGCTTCAGATTTGGTCTCCTGCTCTCTCTGCCCCTCCCCTGCTCACCCTCTGTGTGTGTGTCTCTCTCTCAAAAAATAAATAAACATTAAAAAAAGAAAAAGAAAAAAAAAAAAGGATTAGAGTCCCGGAGACAGACTTCAAAGGCAGATCCCAACTCCTCTGCTGATGTGCTGAGTGACTGTGGACAAAGCCCTTCATCCCTCAGAGCCTCAACTGGAGAGCCCGGCTAAAAACACCTAACTACCATAGAGGTTGTATAATTCAATGAGGTGATGCACCTAAAATGCATGGTGCTTTACCTGGTACATAGTAAAGTTAACACTGTTGTTGTTTTACCATTATTAACTTTATTTTTTGGCTTGATTTATCCCCCCCCCCCTTCATAAAACCTTTATCTAAACAGTCGACATCAAAATAATCTCTTTTCTTTGCATTATCAAAAACGTTTATTTTTCCTATCTCTGATATGGCAGCTACAATTTACCGCCCTGCATTTTGGTTACCTTCCTGTTGCACATATTGTCTTATTTCCTCCTCTCAAGAATAAGCTCCTTGAAGAAAAGGTGCATTCTTAGGCATTTTGGCTCTATGTGTCACTCACTGAGGCCATTATATCTTGTCCTGGGAACTTCCACCTTTTTAAAAGGTGAAGGTTAGGTGAGTTAGTTAACCCAGAAGAAAATTCTGCACTTAAAACAATCAGCAGTGTGGGATCTGGAGGTGGGAGTGAGAGTGGGAGGGAGGTTGGGATAAGAGACTCCAGAAAGGGGCAGAATTGAAAAGAAAACGTTTTTTAAATAACTATCTTCTTTCATCTAAGATCTCCTAGCAGCAGGTAACAATTTAAGAAAAAAAGGAGCCCTGCCTCCGTTTGACCCCTATCTCCCCTCTCTCCTCTTTCCGGGAGAGGACGACAGGTGGGGAAGAACGAGGGTGGGCGCGACTAAGCCCTTTGCAATGACTACAGCTAATTATAGGAATTGTGGAAGTGGACCCAAGAATACTGAACTCCCAGCCCACCCACTGCCTCAACTGCGATCCTGGAGAATTCGTTGCTGGAGGGGACCCAGCTCGGCCCTGGGTTGGGGGTGGGGGGAGGCGTGGGAGACAGGCGGAGGGCGGAGACCAGCGTTGCCCCGCCCCCCAGCTAGGCGGTGACCAGTAGGCGGCACCGCGGCGCCCAGCTTTCATTTAGGGAGCAGCCTCGGGAGCACCGTGCGCTGTGCCCCAGCTGAAATCGAAGGCCCGCGGCGAGATGAGCCGGGCGCCGGCGTTCCTGAGCGCCGCCGAGGTGCTGGAGCACCTCCGCAGCTCCAGCCTCCTCATCCCGCCTTTGGAGGCGGCTCTGGCCAACTTCTCCAGCGGCCCCGACGGAGGCGTCATGCAGCCGGTGCGCACCGTGGTGCCGGTGGCCAAGCACAGGGGGTGAGTGAGAAAGGCGGGGGCCAGGTGCTGGAGAAACTGGAAACGGCGAAGGGAAGGCACGCGAAGGGAAGCAGCGGGAGAAAGGAATAGAGGGCTCGTCTAAATCATTGCTAGTAACAGTTGCCACCTAATATTTGCGCTAACCACAGTACCAAGTGGGCGCTTTACAGGCGTTATCTTGTTTAATTCAACACATTCTCCATATAGGTAGGTATTGATGCAAGCATTTTACTGATGGGGAAAACTGAGACTTAGGTTAACTTACCCAAGGTTACACAGGTAGTTAGTAGCAGAACTAGGATAGTTTTTCTCATCCAGAGGCCGACTCTTATACTCCACATACTGCCTAAAGGAAGGACAGCGGAAATGGGGGGAAGGAGGGACAGTAGGGCAGTGACAGAGGAAAGAGAAAGGAACGTACACTGGGACTTGATAGGGCACCCCAGCATTGCTTGGAAGGGGTTGAAGTTATCCCTCTCTCCTTGCAGCTTCCTGGGGGTCATGCCTGCCTACAGTGCTGCAGAAGACGCCCTGACCACCAAGTTGGTCACCTTCTACGAGGGCCACAGCACCATCTCCATGGTGCCCTCCCACCAGGCCACTGTGCTGCTCTTTGAGCCCAGCAATGGCTCCCTTCTGGCGGTGAGCAACTCCCTGCCTGGGATGAAGTGGGGGCCCCTGGGCCCAGAGCTAGCCTGGAAATTAGTTCTCTGAGAGAGCTGGGTGGAGATTTGATGGGGACCACACGTGCCCCTCTCTGACTATGATGTCTCTGGATACCAGCAACAATGAAGGGTGTCTGTGACTGTGTATCTGTTTCCAGGACTTCCTGAGGATGCACAATCCAGCACCAGAGTGCACCTGCTACTTGAAGTGTGTGACAGTGTGGAAGTAATAATCTCATCATTCTTGTAGATGCTCTTGCCCTGTCCCAGTTACTCCAATATACAGTTCATCAAACTCAGTAGCCAAGGAAACATTTATTTAGTGACTTCTCTAGTGGAAGAAAAGGAGTGTCCTATAATCCCTGGGAGGCTTTTCTGAGAAATACACAGTCACTGGTTTTAACGGTTCATGGTAGTACCAAAATACAGCAGTAGCTCATTCATTGAGCACTTTGTATGTATCAGGCATGGAGGACTCGACTTGTATTAACTCTCCTAATACCTAGAAGCACTCTGTGAGGTAAGTAATATCATTAGCCCCCTTTTGCAGATGAGGAAGCTGAGTCACAGAGCAACTATGCCCATCTTACCCAGGTTTACCTAACTAAGTAAGTGGCATGGCTGGACTGCAGACCTACTCAGTGTAAGTCCAGGGTCTATACTCTCTGGAGACTGTGTCTACTGCCTTTCTAACTGCCACTTACTGAGCACTTACCATGTGCCAGAGAAGAGAATTTGATCTCATTCAATTGTGGCAACATTCCTCTGTGGGAGTTTTTCTTTCACACCCCACTCCCAATTTCTGTTGAGGACTCTGAACCTCAGAGTAGTGGAGCCACTTTGCTGGAGGTCACACAGCTGCTTAGCCAAAGGCCCAGGAATCATTGCTAGGCCTGCCTGATGATGGAGTTTGTACGAACTTGTACTCTGAACCCATGTGCTCTGTGCCCTCCAAGCTGGCTCTGAGACCAGGCAGTTGAGTTGTTAGCTGGGTCAGTCTCCTTCATTCCACCCATACTTCTGGATCTTTAAATCCTCTCTCCTGAATTTCTGGCTCCCCAAGGAACCTGGCTGTATATCACTCCTCTGGGGAGACTGTGTAGCCCTACCCAACCTATACTCATTCTGAGGAGATGACATTCATACCACTACCAATGGTGGTTCCCCCAGAAAGTGGGACCGGCTCAGGCTTTTAAACTAAATGACAAGACCTTAGATCCTTCCTGAATCTGCTCAGTAGTAAGTGATTCGCTTCCTTGTCTATAAAATGAGAATACTGATACTACCTGGGGAGCAACTAAGATGAATAACTTAAAAACAGGAGAATAACACAAAGGATGGTGGTTATTTTTAGCCAGACATAATTCAGAATCCCCTGGGGAGCTTTTGAAAACAAGGGTGTCTGGATGCCTCCCTTAGAGAGATTCCCTGGGCATCTGTATCTTCACAAAGCTCCCCACATGTGTGGTAAGAGTTAAGAGCCAGGTAGAATTTCAGTTAAGAGGTAGAATTTCATGGCCCTTGCACAGATGTCATATGACTTACTCTAATTCCTCAAATTGTTCCTTCATCTGGTGTTTTGAGAGACCGAGAGAAAGAAAATAAAATGGGCAATTCTTGAAGGCTCATCGTGTGCTAGATATTTACATTTATGTGAGTGCTTTAATCCTCACCAAAGTCTTCTGAATGGTTGGCGTTGTCTTTGTTTTTACAGGTGAGCCAAATGGTACTTAGAGATTAAGATATTTCTTCAAAGGTGCATTTCTCATAAGCGGAAAAATTAGCTCCAGATCTGACAGCAAGCCTGTGCTCTTTGTAGGATACTGTGATACTTCCTGACGCTGCTCTTTTTGAGCTGTTTCTTTCTGCTTAAGTCGCGGCTAGGGTTGCCCCTCGCTCACTGCCTCTCCTTTCCTCCAAGGTCATGGATGGAAATGTCATCACCGCAAAGAGAACAGCTGCAGTATCTGCCATCGCCACTAAGGTAAGATTAGTGCCAGCCTGTGTTGTTGGGGTTTGCTGGAGAGCGGGGTTGGGTGCCTCAAGCTTGAAAGCCTAAGGGAGAAGTGAGAGACTTACTTCGGTATTCCTTTGGACATAACTGGAACTCCATAAGCCAAAAATGGGATGTCAGATGAGCACAGGGATTCATGAAACTATTAAATACCACTTAATGAGCACCACTAGATTCCGGGGACCCTACATACCTTATTCCTTATCTTCACATCAACCTTGCAAAGGAGATAGGATGATCTCCATTTGCCACATTTAGGGAATGTGGCTCAGAGAGGTTATGTGAGTTGCCCAAGATCACACAGCTACTGAGAAGCAGAGCAAGAATTTAAAATTTGACTTCTATGACCCCCAGGACTGCTTTGTTGCCCCCTGCCCCCGTACTACACTGCTCCTGGTAAATCAGGGTAGTTGCTGCATAGGCCAAAGCCAATCCTGCACAAGAAGCAGAGGGGGAGATGAAGAGATCCAAGTGCACTCACGTATTCATTCAGCTAGTACCGCCTGAGATCCTACTATATGTTGGGCACTGTTCTAAACATCAGGGATATGGCAGTGAACAAAACAGAGAGTGGCACATGGGGGTTTAAGACAATACACAAGATGAAAAGTGAAGCACACAGTTTGGTTTGCTAAGAAAATAATTAACCAACAACAAACTCTTTTTGAGTTAATAACATGCTAGGATTTGCTTTTAAAAAAAACCCACTACCGACCAAAAACAGATAGTGTGCTGCTTGAAAATAAAGCAGAATCGAGAATACTGGGGAGGGTGACCTTCCGAATTACCCACGGAAGATCTCATTCACCAAGAAGGTGACATTTGAGTAAAAACTGAAGGAAGTAAGTGGGGGAAGGGGCACTCTTCAGGCGAAAGGGAAAGCAAGTGAAGGGGGCGATGATGTTCCTGAGCACTGTCAGGACATCCTACAAAAAAAGCAGTATCTTTAGAGGTTAGCGTTACAGAGAAGAGGCTTGGAAAGCTGGGTGTCTTTCACGTGAGATGGGAATGTATACGGTTTGCTGAGCTGGTTTAGGAGTTTATGAGGAATGAGCATAAAGAGGTATGGGGTCTGGGGCGCAGCAGAGACCAGGTGTTCAGATTGTGAGCGTGTTAAGGTCTTCTAAACACAAGATGGGGAGGGAAGAATGTAAGAATTAACCTGAGAATTGTGTAGGAAGGGGGCAGATCACACACCTGGATGAAATGGTTTTTTGAAGCATATCCAGACCCAACTCAGACTGAAATAGTCAAGGGACTCCTTGAGATATATATACTCACTGGTACAATTACTGCCTTTCATTTATTTGTAAAGGACTCTGGTCTTTTTCAGAAGAACTTCCAACCCATTGTCTTGATGTATCTTTCGGTTTCTGTGAGGGAGGGAGAACAAGTATTATTGGCCTCATTTCGTCCTAGAGATGGAGACTAGGACTTCCTGAAGTCATATAAGCCACGTAGCTATGGGATCCTCTGAGACTGCCTGGTCTTCATGGCCCAGGTCTGTGGTTTCCAACTCAAGCTATGCAGCAGCCATCACCTGGGGAATGTCTTTAAAAATTCAGATCCCCAAAACACAGATTTGAAATCACTAAGGGTGGGGCCCAAGAAAATGGTTGTTGTGTTGTTTTTTTTTTTTTTAATAGTCTCTGGTTACTTCTGATGATCAACCAGGTTTGAAAACCAAAATCTCATAGACCCAGCTCCCAGTTACACCGTGCTTTTTTTTTTTTTTTTTTTTTTTTTTTTTTGCATTGATAAAAATCTGCACTCCCATAAGAGTTGAGAATCATTGAGCTGATGCTTCAGAGTTTAGGCTGCAACTTCCCAGCTTTATGCCCAGGGGTGCAGATGGGTTATTTCAATAAGGAACTAAAGGTCTATTACACTTTTTGCCCTGGAAGAGAGAGTGTTTTCTTTTCCACCACTTCTCATTCATTTAGGGCTTTGGGGAGGAGGATGAGAAGTATAAGAGGTTCTCGGGTTTGTCAGTCACTGCAACTTCTTTGCATTTGGATTGCACATACCCTGAGTTGTGGATTCTGACATGCTTTTTCAAGGTGACAGTACATATCAGAGTTTATCCCTGGCACGCATTTATTTGGCAAATAATTGAGTGCCCACTAGAGGCCAGGCCCAGTGCTCAGTCTGGGGCATAGAATGGTAAGTAAAACCAGATACAGTACCTGCCATCATGGAACACAAGAGTCTATTTGGGGAAACAGATATTAACCCAAAGATCACACCAATACCTGTGAAACTATTACCTAGACAAATACATCGAGTGCAAGAGGTGAAGTGCAATGAGAGTGTGTAACAGGAGGTCTGTGGGATTTGGAAAGGCTCTTCTGGTGGAAGGGATATCTGAGGAGAGATATGAAGGATAGGAGGAGTTACTTGTGAAGGACAGAGAGAAAAATATTTCATGCATAGGAAAGAACCTGTGCAAAGGCCCTGTGGTTGATGGTAGCACACGTGCTTGGGAATTTGCAAAGAAGCCAGTGTGGCTGAAGGACAGGAATTGCAGAGGAACATGGCCTGAGAGGGGGCTGGAGAGATGGCAGGGCTACATCTAGTGCTGTTCATTAGCAAATGCAGATGACACACACACTTCCAAGCTCTTTAAGTAAGAAACCTAGCAGATTCATATACATGTTTTTAATTATTTGCATGCTATGGGAAAAAGAATGAAGTACCACTAATCCTGCTATGATTTAATACATCTTATAAATGTTATGCTATTTAGGAAAAGAGATGTCTATTGTAACATTATTACCAAGGCAACAAATTATCAAGTAAGACAATCAATCAGAATTAGAGATTTAGTTTCACAAGTTGAAGGTTTGTTTTACAGGACACTGCAATGATTTCTAAAGCCCAAGTGTACTTCAAAGAATAGATTCATATTAACTAAGAACAGGAAAAAAATTGATTTAGTAAAGGAAAAATCACCTAATTCTCCTTGTTGGATAAGAGCATAACATTGCTTGTTTTGTTGATATTGTAATTTTGAAAACTTCCCAAGTCAGATACCTTGAACTATATTTTATGGCACAAAATGGTATCTCTCCTTCTGTAGCTACAGGAGAGATGAACATCTGCTACTATTTCTGTGACTCCTTTTTGCTAGTAATTAATAATTAAAGAGACTTTCACTTTTAGGATTACATTCCAGAAATTCAATAATTAATATTGAAGAAAGAACAGACTCAAATTTTACTGAATGAAATACAGAAAAGGCAGAAGAGGTTCTTTCTTTCTTTCTCTCTCTCTCTCTCTCTCCCCCTACCTTCCTCTCTCTCTCTCTCTCTCTTTTTTTTAAGTAGGCTTCATGTCTAGCATGGAGCCCAGTGTGGGGCTTGAACTCACAACCCTGAGATCAAGACCTGAACTGAGATCAAGAGTTGAATGCTCAACTGACTGAGACACTCAGGCACCCCACAAGAGGCTCTTATTTAATATGGATGGTGTGCCAGTAGGTCTGAACCCCAAATGATTTTTGCCACCTGTCCCAGGGACATTTAGCAATATCTGGAGACATTTTTGGTTTTGTCACAACTAGGGGAAGTAGGAGATGCTACAAGTATCAAATGCATAGAGGCCAGCGATGCTGCTAAACATCCTGTAATACACAGGAGAGCCCATGCACCCGTTTCTGCTGACAAAGAATTATCCAGCCCAAATGTCAGTCATGCTGAGGTTCAGGAACCCTGCTTTACTTCCTACACATAATAGGAGATTTGTGCCAAATCTGTGCACATGAGACTGTCTCTGCCCTCATGGGCTTACAGATCAGTACAAGAAAATAAATCTGTAAAGAAATAAGTGCTGTGAAGGGATGACTTCTATCAGGGGGGTCAGGAAGATTTCACCTTAGAGATGATACTTGATATGAGTTGATCATAGAACCCCACTCCCAAACACAGACACATGTACATCCTTAGCAGGTGCCACAAATGCCAGGTCTACACTCCTCTTTAAAGGAAGATGGAGGCTGAGAAAGGATCAGCAGTGGGCTTCGAAAATATAACGGAGAGCCTTGAGTTGCAAGGAAGGGCCCATGGATTCCAGGTAGCTCTTAGAAGTAACTCAGGGCTCTGAGAAGTGGGTGTGGCCTATCATGTCCCCAAGATGGGGTGGCACAGGAGAAAGAATGTGGTCTTTGGAGAATGAAGGGTGTGGTTTTTGGAGCCCCACTGTGCCATTTAATAGTTGTAGGACCCTGCAAGTTACTTAACCTCTCTGGACCCCAATTTCTTCATCTAGAAGAGGAGGATAAAAATAGGAGTGCCTTGCTCACAGGGTGATTGCCTGGACTAAATGAGACCATGAGGGTAAAGCATTGGCATATATTAGGGGCTCCCTGAAGGCTCCTTCCTCCCCTCCACACTCTGCAGAGGAGAAACTGAAACACGAAGTATCATCTCCTTCATTGCCCAAGAGATAGTGAGGGAGCTAAAGATAGGGCCAAAGACACCTGATACTCAGACTGTGTTTGTTCTTCACCTGGCTGCTCTGTCTCCCTTGACCTTTGCCACCTGGTTTCTCTCAAATAGTTTTTGAAACCACCCAGCAGTGAAGTGTTGTGCATCCTTGGGGCTGGGGTCCAGGCCTATAGCCACTACGAGGTCTTCACAGAACAGTTCTCCTTCAAAGAGGTAAGTCCAGGGAAGGCTAGGGGAGAAGAGGAGAGGGAGCGATCGTGACCTTTATCTATACTCCTTCACTGCAACATGGGCAATTCTGAAATAGTTAGGTCAAGAGTCTGATCTAGACCATTCTTGTTTTTTTTAACGTTTGTTTATTTGTTCATGAGAGAGAGAGAGAATGCCTGCGTGCCTGCGTGCTAACAGGGGAGGGGCAGAGAGAAAGAGGGAGACAGAGAATCCCAAGCAGGCCCCACACTGTCGGCACGGAGCCTGATGTGGGCTCGATCCCACGAACCGTGAGATCATGACCTGAGCCGAAATCAAGAGTTGGACGCTTAACCAACAGAGCCACCCAGGCACACCCATAGGGGATGATGTAAATCCCCTTACCCCAGAGTGGCTCAACTTTCCCCTGGCACCAACGAAACATAATAAAACATAAACAGACAAACAATCATGGCACCAATGTCCCTCTTGTTACCCCCAATGAAGGTGAGGATATGGAACCGCACCAAAGAACATGCAGAGAAGTTTGCAGACACAGTTCAAGGAGAGGTACAGGTCTGTTCGTCGGTCCAGGAGGCGGTGACAGGTGCAGATGTGATCATCACAGTCACCATGGCAACAGAGCCCATTTTGTTTGGTGAATGGGTGAAGCCGGGGGCTCACATCAATGGTAAGCAGAGTGGCTCCCGGAGCCATGGGTAGATGGTGGCCATAGTTGTCCCTGGGCTGAACTAAGTGGCTGCATCTGCAGAGCTATTTTCCTCATGCAAACGACCAAGCTTTTTAAGGCCCTCAGGAACATGTGATCCCTGAAAAACAATATTCACTCAAAAGTTTGAAACAAAAATCCTGAACCAGAAGCTTATACATTTAAGTTCTATAAAATGTAACATTTTGGCAAGTGATCAGTCACAGCTAAGTTCTTAAATGTAATGGAATTTAAATTACAAAAGTCAAATGATTCCTTCTTTCTTAAAAATACTTAGAATTACCCCCTGAAAAAGTTTTTTTTTAAATTATAGCACAAAAGACATTTAATATGACATGTGGATGCTATTTAATATGTGTGATAGGATGGGTGAGACTCCAACCATAAGAGTTCCTGGGGCTTCTGAGGATTCTCAAATGACTCTGGAGGTTATAGCAAGAGCTGGTCTCTGTCGAATATTTACTGTTGCAGGTGCTGTTCTAAATTCTTTATTTGTATTACATCATTCAATCCTTACAACAACCTTATGAGGTAGGAGATATTCTTATCATTACCTTCATTTTATAGGTGGGTAAACCAAGGCATAGAGAGATTAAGTGACTTGCCCAAAGCCAGAGGTTCTTAGTGGTAGAGCTGGGATCTGAACTGAAGCAATCTACCATCAGAGCACAAGCTCTTCAATTTTACTACTCTCTATTATCTTCCAAAAAGAAGACTGGAATCTGGTGAGCAAGGAGGGCAAATACTAGGGGTTTAAACACGTTTTCAGTGCCCTCTGTTCTGGTGACAACCACCTGGCGTGAACTCAGAAGCTCAGAATTCTGTACACATTGGCAGAGAGCAGGCAGAAGCCCAGTGTCATGGTTGCGCATCCAATCACAAATGTGTCCTGAATCCCTACCATGTGACAGGCACTATTCTAGATGCTGGGGAGGCCAAAATAAGCCAGCACTCGGGGACATTTGCTTTCCTGATGCTTACATTCAGGTGAAAGGAAATCGACAACAAACAGCTAAGCAAATAGATGGACTAGATGGTTCCAGGTAAGGGGAAGTTCTGTGAAGGAAACCAGTGTGTGGCTTGCCTGAGGAATGGGCCAACACGAAGTGAAGGTCTCAGCTTGTGTGGGACTGGTGTTATGATGTGAGTCCAGAGGGTAGGCAGGCAAGAGATGGGTCAGTTCTGGCTTTGTGACAGTGAGACCATTTCTGGAAGGACTCGGGAAATCAAAAGAAACCAGTTCTTGGTAAAATGGACAAGAGCTGAATGTTCAGCCAGACCGACTTGATTTTTTTCTTTTTCAGCTTAAAGCAGTACATATGTATTATCTTGCAGTTTCTGTGGTTTTGGGGGTCTGGGCATGGGTTAGCTGGGGCCTCTGCTCACACAAGGAGGAAATCAAGGTGTTGTCTGAGCTGCGGTCTCATCTAGAGCTCAGAGCCCTCTTCCAGGGCTAGGTGGTTGTGCAGATGCTTCACATTGTTAAGAGAGGAATACTGGTTTCCTGGGGGCTGTTCTCAGCTCCTGGAGGCTGTCCACGTTCCTTGTATGTCTGTTTCATCCTCAAAGCCAGCAACAGAGAATCTCTCTCACACTGTGACTCTCCAGGAAGTGCTGCCTAAATCTTGAGTCCAGGCATCCCTTCTATTTCCCTAGCCCAAAGACAAAATTGGCTTAGGCGTTTACAGAGGCATCAAATATATTTCAGAAAAGTATGTTACAAGTGTGGTTGACAGGGAGACACCAACAACAGATTTTACTTACTTTACAGCTTGGCTAAGAGATAGGCCTGATTTCACCCCCACCCTGCACCCTCTCCCCGCTGCCCCAGCTGGGGTCTGACCCTCACCCGTTCTTGCTCCACTGGAGCAAGGCCAGGGCCCAGACTGAGTGAGACCCCTCCCTTCACTGCCTGGCCCACCTCCATCTGCCCCAGTGGCCTCACAGGACCCTTTGAAAACTCCCCCTGCTCAGAAGAACTGGGGCAGGAGAGGGTTGGGGGGAGGGGATGCAAGTGCAATGAGAAGAGGTGGCTTGAGAAGCTAGGATTTTTCCCACCAGCTTATGATTTATTTACGAGCTTCATTTAGTTAGTGCTTTTGTTCTACAGAACTCCCCACGCAAATGCCCTTTGAGAAGGACATTTTTATACCAATCTCGTTGAAAATTAGAGTAGGGGACAACAGCAGGAGAGGGAACAAGTAGAGAAAACTGGACACAATGTGGGAAGGCGCATAAATGCCACCTTATGTGGGTGCAAGGCTTTATAACGGCTTCCAAAGACTAGCTGGCCGTGGGCTGGATCCAGCCAGCAGATGTGTTTTGTTTGGACCATAGTGTGCTCTAAAAATCAAGAAATAACACATGCAAATAGATTTCCTGCTTCTCTTTAAAAAAAATAATAAAAGAAAGAAGGGGAGAATATCTAACAGCGGCCCTGCATTCTCATGGCCACAATTAGCTGGAGATGAATGGTGGCTGCCCTCTTTACAAGGGCCAGCTTTCTTCTGTGTACCAAGGGCTCCACCATTTCCAATCCAGCCCCTCTGACCAGCTTTGCTCATGTTCCTTACCTGCCTGGCCTTGTGGACTTTTGGTGGCAGCCTCTGTGTTATCCTACGTGCCGGTGCCAGGAGGCATGATTCCTTGGATTCATCATTATGTTGCTGGGCTCACTGCAAAGGATGTGATATCTCGGTGCCAGGATGGAGCCAGTTTCCTCTCTACTGGGGCTTCTCCGTGAGCCTGGCACTGGGCTCCTTTGTCATGAGTGAAGAGATAAATGGTTGGGGGTGAGGAGTGGGAAGGATTCAGAACCAAGCAGATTGATAGAAGATGGAGGAGTGTAGGGTGTGAATAAGCTGTAAGTGATGTCTCTGTTCCCAGAATTTTATAAAGAGGTCACTGCCCCCAATAAACAAACAGAAAAGGCATCAAAGGGCCCAGGAGCATGTCTTAGATACACAACCATGGCCAACACCTTCGGTTCTTTGAGCCTCCTTTGTGCACCTTGTAAATGGAAATCAGACATGAAGCGTACTTGTGAGGATTATAAATAAAATGTGCGAAACATCCCACAGATAGCAGGCAGCCAATAAATGAATGCTAAGTTGCCTCAAAATCTCTTAGAAAGATCTTGGTATGAAATGCAAAAAAAAAAAAAAAAAAAAAAAAAAAAAAAAAAAAAAGACAGGCATTATTCTTATTGATGAGTGTTCAGTCTTGCTGATTGGGGAGGCTGGCATTGGGAAATGAGGCATCCCAAATCTGAGTGTTCCCCTGTGTTCTGTGTCACCTCCTTTTCCCCACCCCTCCTCCACTTTTTGGCACGTGTAGTGTCCCTTGCCTCTATTTCTGGGTTCAGGGTCCGTTTTGCTGTCTCTTAGCCATTGGAGCGAGCAGACCCGACTGGAGAGAGCTGGACGACGAGCTGATGAAACAGGCTGTGCTGTATGTGGATTCCCAAGAGGCTGCCCTGAAAGAGTCTGGAGATGTCCTCCTGTCAGGGGTGAGCCTCTCCTCCTGGTGGGCTGCTGTCCAGCTGGCCTCACCTGGATGCCAGGGTTTCATTAACCTTCCCTGCCTTTTGGACTGTTCCAGACCTCAGTCACTCCTACCTCTTTGTGGGTGACAGCCCCTAAACATCTCTCAACCCTTTCTAATTCCCTTCTGGAATAATGTGGCCATTATGTTAATGACATGTGTTTTCCTGTCCCCTTTGCCTGGAGAGCAGCTTGATGGATTTTTCCCATCGGACTGAGCTGTCCTATGAAGCAGTAAGATTGGGAGATAAGTGGCTGGCAACCTTCCCAATGTGGCCAACAAAGTAAGACTGGGGTTGACCACGTTCTGGCCTTATTCTTCTGTAATCAGAACATAGGAGCAAGAAGAGGGCTGCCAAAATGAGCGTTAAGATAAGAATATGCTTATTTCCTCACTGACAGACTGTCTTGGCTGGACATTCTCCTGGCTACAAACTTGTATCTCTGCATTCATGGTATATCACAAAGGCAGGTATTATGCAAAAAAAATATATAAATATATAGGTGTGTGTGTATAATTATATTATGATTATATATTATACAATAATTATAATTATTATATTATATGTTATATATAATACATATGAGTTATATATAATTATAATATTATATATAACATATAACACATATTATATATGTTATATATAATATATGTGTGTTATATGTAATAATTATAATTATATTATATATAGATACATATGTAACACATATATATATTATATATATCCTTTTTTTAATGGGGGGAGCCAGTTTACAAATGGTCTTTTTGTCAAGAACCTCATCCAGTTCTGGGTGCTCTCCCTGCCCCTGCTTCAGAACCTGGCCAGAGCAGACACTGGCTCCATGGCCCCCGGGTCAGTGTGTGTTCATTTCACAGGCTGAGATCTTTGCTGAGCTGGGAGAAGTGGTGAGGGGAGTCAAGCCAGCGCACTGCGACAAGACCACGGTGTTCAAGTCTTTAGGTAAGGACTGTTGCTCCCAGGGCACACTCCAGCCAGAGCACAAGGGCAGGCTTGCCCATTGGTGCAAAGGGGAATGAGTCGCTGGACTCTGTATTTGAGTCATGAAATCTGTCATTTGAGTCAATTATTTATGTGTGTTAGCACAGTAGGTAGTAAGCCCATGAACTCTGGAACTGGGTGGTTCTGGGTGGGATTCCCTTCTCTGCCATTCCCTGGATATGCGTCCTTGGGCAAGTGACCTCAGTGACCTCACTCCATCTGAGCCACAGTATCTTCACTACCTGTTCCCTTCAGTGTTTATGAGAATTAAGTGACATGTGTATGTGTGTAAAATGATTTGTATACAGCAAGTGTCAGCAGCAAATCATTTGGACTTAGATCTAAATGAAAGTCAGAAGAAGGTATCCTTCAGAGGTGGGGGTAAGGATGTTTAAAGACAGGGAGCTTGGGGTGCCTGGGTGGCTCAGTCAGTTGAGCGTCTGACTTTGACTCAGGTCATGATCTCACAGTTCATGGGTTCAAGCCCTGCGTTAGGCTCTGTGCTGACAGCTCAGAACCTGGAGCCTGCTTCAGATTCTGTGCGTATGTGTCTCTCTCTCTGCCCCTTCCCTGCTTGTGCTCTGTCTCTCTCTATCTCTCAAAAGTAAACAAATGTTAAAAAAAAATTGTTTTTAAGACAGGAAGCTTAAGGGAAATGGCAGGGAGACCTACCAGAAGAGACCCACCCAGGAATTACAGCCTGAGACCCCTTTTTGTCCTTCCTTCCCTACCCTCCTACTTGCTGATTTGATGGGGACTTCCATGGGGAGCCCCATTGCCAACAGAAGCCCAACAAAGGATGGGCTCCCAGTGGCCAGTCTGCCCCTCAGCCCAGCAACTTTACCCCCCACTCGGAGTTAAGGAAATGGACGCACATGATAACAGAGCTGATAGTCAGCTGATACACCTAAAATATTGAAATACTCCCAAACTGGTTGATAAATAGTTATTGCCCTGAGCCCCCAAGAATGTCTTCCACCCTTCTCCCAAGATCTTGCCTATTTCCTATGATCAAGAACCCAAAGCTTTAATGCTTGGCAGAACATTTAGAGTACTCTGGCCACCTAGCATCCATGCCAATGGGTCAGTATCCGTGCCTTGCTGCCTTTTAAATATATTTTCAAAATCTCTCATGCACAGGGAGACAGGAAAAAGCAGTGTAAACTTTACCCAGAGCTTGGTTCAAAGACATCACACTGATCCAGTTGTGATGGAAAATTTCAGAGTTCAGAGATCAGAGGTCAGCAACCCCTTCAGCAGACCATACTGCAGAAATCTGCTGTGCCCTTCTGAGCAATTTTTGTTTTCTTGCTTTGGGGATTGGTTTATTGGCACAGCTTTCCATCTAGCAGGTGCATATTAAACACCTATTATGTATCAGACTCCGTACTGGATGTAGTGGTGACTACAAAAATTAGTAAAAATCATACCTGTCCTTTAAAAACACATATCCACTTGAGGTTAAGCTTCATATGCAAAACAATAAGATAAGTGGGGTTGCTGAAGGATGCAGGGTTTGGACTAGACCAAGGGTCTGCAAACTATAGCCTGTGGGCGATACTCGGCCCACCTCCTGTTTCTGTCCTGCCTTCAAGCTGGGAATAGTTTCTAATCAAATGACTAGAAAACAAAAAAGAAGAAGAATATTTTGTGACGGATGAAAATCACATGAAATTCAAACTTCAGTGTCCATAAAGAAAGTTTTACTGGAACATGGCCAGGGTCGTTTGCTTACCTATCATGTATGACTGCTTTTGCCCCACAATGGCAGAGTTGATTGCAACAGAGACCATAGGGCTTGCAAAGCCTAAATATTGACCATCCGGCTGTTCACAGAAAGTTTTCAGCACGCTAAATTAAACTTTGAAGGACATTTAAAATGTGTTTGGTGGGCATTTCTTGCTTAGCATCTTTTCCCTGCTTCACCCTGTCCTTCGCAGACCTTCCAAGCCTAAATGCACCTCTGGATATGAGTACGTTTTTACCCCAATAGGCATGGTTAGCAGCACAGACAGTGAGTCAGGAAACTGCCAGTCACAGGGCCTGGACTGTTCCTGGGAATGGTGTTCTGACAAAAAGTGAACCACATTTCTGCCCCTTCCAGGAATGGCGGTGGAAGACCTGGTTGCAGCCAAACTAGTGTACGATTCCTGGTCATCTGGCAAATGAAACGAAGGAACTTTGCGTGGAGGTAGATGCAACAGCTCAAGGGATGTTGTTACCAGCTCCCTTGCAATTTCTAGATCAAATGAGGGAACCCGAGGTACAGTGAGCTATAGTTTTGAGCTTATCGTGTCTTACCTTAAATAATGAGATCCCCATTTGTGTGTGTAGTTGGAAAGAAAAACTAGGTGGCCATTTCTTCTGTTACACCAGATTATAGTGATGCTCTGTTTCCCCCCGTATTTCACTGCATTTTGTAATTCCTTGAAATAAAGCATTTTCCAAGTCTGCAGTTCTCACTGTGGTCCTTTCTGTCCCCCATGGAAGAGGAAGTGAGGAAAGCAGGTGCTCCCATTCACTCCCTGGGGGAGTTCCAATGACCATAATTAAATTTTTTAAATTATTTAAATTATTTAAATTAGTATACAATTCCTGTAATAAAATTCACCAGTTTAAAGTATACAATTCAATGGTTTTTAGCATGTTCACAGGGTGCAACCGTCCACTGTCTGATTCCAGAACATTTCATCACTCCCCAAATGAAACCTGGTGCACATTAGCAGTCACTCCGCTTTTCCCCTTTTTCCCAGTCTCTGCCAACAACTGATCTGCTTTCTATCTTTATGGACTTGCCTCTCCTGGACATTTCATATAAATGGAATCATGCTTTATGTAGACTTGTTTCTGGCTTCTCATTATTTAAATTTCAAGGAACAATGGAGCTTCTATATTGGTCAGGACTTCTTTGGTCACAGGTGGTAGAGACCACAACTCAAACTACCCTAGGCAGAATGATTGAAAGAACGAATGAATGAGGAATGGAATATATTGGCTCTTACAATTCAGAAGTACACAGGTAACTGCTCACAGCTACAGCTGTATCCAGGGCTCCAAGTATCCATAGGACCCAGTCTTGCTCTCTCCATCCCTCAGCTCTGTTTTCTTCAGTGTTGGCTCCATTACCGAGTAACTTTTCCCCTGGCTGTCCTCTTCGGCAACGCTAGCAGAAATGGAGATTATCCCACAATTCGAAGGACCATCTAGGTGATGTGCCCATTTCTGTGCCTAACACTGTAGCTAAATGAGATGGAATACTCTGGCACAGTCCAGTGCCATGTGCCTGTCCCTGAAACAAACACATCCTCCCACTGTTCTGATGCTGCTATTATCCGGGCCTGGGTCACATGCCCCCATTGAAGTCCAGAGTGGAATTAGTCCACCTGACCACATGAGCTAACAGAAGAGAAGGGGGCTCTTAGCATAAAGAGGGAGGAATGGGTATTGGGTGGACAAATCTACAGATGTCACTAAAGTATCAGTGTTGAGAGGTTCATTAGGAATTATCTAGTCCAACCTTCTCGTCTTCCAGATGAGGAAACTGAGGTGAGTTTTCGCTAGCTCCCCCAATTCACTAGCAGAGTTATGTTGCTCTTGTCCTGCCAAAGACCCCTCCCCCATCCGAATCCACTCCCACTCCTAGTCTGGCTATGAGATAAGTCAACAGCAAAGAAAAACATTTTCTATTGCTTTGTTTTCCTACACAAACTCCTAACAGTTCTTCTTCATGCTATAGAATGAATCCACAAGTTCACCCATTCCCCTACTCACCTCCCCTCTGGTAACCATTAGTTTGTTCTCTGTAGGTAAGAATCTGTTTTCTGGTTATTTTTTTTTCCTTTGTTCATTTGTTTCTTAAATTCTACATAGGAGTGAAATCATATGGCTTAGCCACAAGTTTATCATGTTTGCCAGGCTGTCTGGATAGGGGCCTTTGCACTGGAATAAAATATCGATGCGATCTGCTTTTGCACATCTCAAGTGACGATGAAGTCCTTCTGGGGAACTTAATGGTCACAACCCTAAGGGATGTGTAGAGAAGGATGTGTGATAATGGGATTATTCAAAGGGCCTCAATTACAGTAATTTCTCTGACATTGGCCATAGCAACTTCTTTCTAGATATGTCTCCTGAGGCAAGGGAAAGAGAAGCAAGAATAAACTATTGAGAGTACATAAAAATAAAAAGCTTCCGGGGCACCTGGGTGGCTCAATTAAGCGTCTGACTTCTGTTCAGGTCATGATCTCTCAGTTCATGAGTTTGAGCCCCACCTCAGGCTGTGTGCTGCAGCTCAGAGCCTGGAGCCTGCTTCCAATTCTGTGTCTCCCTCTCTTTCTATCTATGCCTCCCCTACTCACACTCTTTCTCTCTCAAAAATAAATAATAAAAAATTTTAATAAAAAGCTTCTGCACAGCAAAGGAAACAACCAACAAAACTAAAAGACAACCTACTGAATAGGGAAGATATTGCAAATGACATATCCAATAAAGGGTTAGTATCCAAAATATAGAAAGAATTTATACAACTCAACAACCAAAAAACAATGCAATTAAAAAATGGGCAGAAAACATGAACAGACATTTCTCCAATGATGACATAGATGGATAACAGACACATGAAAAGATGCTCAACATCATCAATCATCACAGAAATACAAATCAAAACCACAATGAGATATCACCTCACACCTGTCAGAATGTCTAAAATAAAAAACACAAAAAACAATAAGTGTTGGCAAGGATGCAGAGAAAAAGGAACTATCGTGTACTGTCGGTGGGAACGCAAACTGGTGCAGCCACTGTGGAAAAGAATATGGAGGTTCCTCAAAAAATTTAAAAATAGAACTACTACATGATCCAGTAATACCACTACTGGGTATTGACCCAAAGAAAACAAAAACACTAATTCAAAAAGATATATGTACCCCTGTGTTTATTGCAGCATTATTTAGAATAGCCAAATTATGGAAGCAGCTCAAGTGTCCATCAACAGATGAATGGAGACTATATATATATGAATATTACTCAGCCATTAAAAAGAATGAAATCTTGCCATTTGCAACAACATGAATGGATCTATAGCATATTATGCTAAGTGAAATAAGTCAGAGAATGACAAATACCATATGACTTCACTCATATGTAGAATTTAAGAAAGAAATGAACAAAGAAAAAAAAAAAAGAATCAAAAAACAGACTCTTGCCTACAGAGAACAAACTAATGGTTACCAGAGGGGAGGTGAATAGGAGAATGGGTGAACGAGGTGAAGGAGATTAAAAGTATATTTATCATGATGAGCACTGAGTAATGTACACAATTGTTTAATCCCTATATTGTATACCTGAAACTAATATAACACTGTATGTTAACTATATTGGAATTTAAATTTTTTTAAGTGCCTGAAATAATTCATAGATTTCTTCTTTTGATCTTTCCATAAGAGCCCATACAATAACTGTTTTAGGCCACCAAGACACAATAGAAAAGAAACAGTCATTGTAAAGGGAATTAAGAGATACAAACTTTGAGTTATAAAATAAGTTGTGGGGATGAAAAGTACAGCATAGGGAATATAGTCAATAATATTGTAGTAATGTATGGTGACAGATGGTAACTATACTTATCATGGTTGAGCATTTCATAAAGTATATAATTATTGAACCACTATGTTGTACACCTGAAACTAATATTGTATGTCCACTATACTTCAATTTTTTTAAACAAGCAGTATTTACCCCCAAAAGCACACAGTCTAGGAAAAGAGAGATGTAAAAAGATGACTACAGTACCATGCTTCAGTGTTACAGGAACATATAGTCAGGGTCCCAGCAGGAACAGGGGTGACTGAAGAGAATTCAATGAAGGGACTTTAAGAAAGGAGAGGGGAGAGTTACAGGAAGCAGAGGGGACAGTGAAGCATGCCAAGGCCAGCCACAGTAGGAAGCTGCCACCACCACTCGCTGAGTTGGCATGAGCAGTTAGGGAACCCAGCAAGCACTGGAGCTAGGGCAGACAGGGGCTGTGGGCTTGGATGAAGGGAGGCAGCCACAGCCCCACAAGGAAATGAGAGGTGGAGTAAATGTCCCAGCCCCTCTTTCCTCCCACTCTCTGGTCTCTTGATGGTGCCTCCCACTGGCCAAACCCAATCAGAAGTCCAGGGAGAGTCCATGGAGGTCACCAATGGGACACAGAGGAAGGTGGAGAATAGCAGAGAGAGGTTCTGGAGGTTAAACAGAAGGTGGCCTGCACAGCTACAGGGTCCAACCCAGACTAGTGGCAGGCAGAGAGGGTGAGTCTCCCAAGAGAGTTGGCTACATGGAGGAAGGATTTCCCAGGAGGAGGGATGATTGTGTGCAGGGGCACAGGCATAGGAGAGGCACACTATATTCAGGAAGCTACAGGAAACCTGGTGTGGCTGCAATTAGGAGAGAGAGAGAGGAAGGGCCAGAGATGAGATCAGAGGCTTGTTAAGTATGCCATTCTCAAAAGAGGAAGAATAGATAGAGCCCTGGGTTTCTCGGTCTCTGCATTATCAACATTTGGGTTCAGATTATTCTTTGTTGTAGGAGGCTGTCCTATGCACGGTAGGATGTTTAGCATTCCTTGTTTCTAGCCACTAGATACCTGTATCAACCCCTGGCCCCCAACTCACGATAATGAAAAATGCCTGTAGACATTGCCAGAGGTCCCTGGGGCAAAATTATCCCAGTTAAGAATCACCGACTTGGGAGAAGATGGGTTTAGTTCTGGGCATATTGAGTTTGAGGTACCTGTGAGACATTCAAGGGGAGACGTCAGATAAGCACTCGGGCTTACGGATTTGGAGCTCAAAACAATGGTCTGGGTTGGTTACTCAGATTTTGGAATTGCAAGCATACAATTGATGTGTATAGCCTGACAGCCTGAGATATAAGCACGATATGTGTTTGACACACCAAACTCCTTCAGTGAAATGTTCTTTCTTTTATTTCTCACTGACTTTTATGTTAGACTACAAAGAGAGGGAGACAGAGAGAGAACCAAGGGCATTAGGGAGTTTGATAGCACTGGATAAGCATCTAGTTTAAGGGATGGAGGTCTGAATACAGTGAGTATTTAAACTCATCCAGGCTCATAATCCTCCAGTCTGTCTCTAGACAAGGCATTTATACTGCTCTAGCTTCCTCCCTTAGGCCTCTCTTGTTTCATTTCGTTTGAAACATCTAGAATTCTTATAACAGTTATAACCTTTTATAATATGGTATAAGACTTTTTTACAGCAATGTGGCATGATGGAGAGGCTATATCCTTCATGATAAGTTGGGAGAACATTCACATACTGATTCTGTAAATAATTCATAAGAGGCCAAGAGCCCACAAGAAGAGCATAAAGGTGCCTGGTGAGATCCCCAATAGCAAATGTCTCCCCAAAAGAGGTGAGAGTTGTCCAACGTGACTGATGACTACAACTATGTTACACTTGAGGCAGAAGATGGATTGAGAATGGTTTGTGCAATGGGGAGAAAGTTTTTCCTTTCAGAGTCACTCCTTTCGACGTCACATAACCCACCCTGACCCTTAGATGCCATGTGAGACACTACATTCAGTGAAACTCCTAGGAATCAACAGCCCAGCATAATTTGCATCTTGCCTCCAGCCGAGGCCTCCCATCTAGTTATGCAACAATAAATAGTGACCATCTGCTATATGACAGACCAGAATTTGGTACAAGGGATATGTCAGTGAACATAGGACAGAGAAAACTCCCTGTCTCCAAGGAGCTTACATTGTAAGGCAGAACATGGCTTCTCCAATAGGGAAGTAGGCGTAGCAGAGTTCTCAGTAGGGGGAAACTTTTAATTCAACTTCTTTGCTCCCTGATATATAAGACCGAAGGTAATTCTCACTGTTTCGTTCATATATTTTGATCTAATTTTTGTGATAATTGCAGACATGGTATCTACCCTTTAAATGGAACAACAGGGGATGTTCAGAGAATGGTAGATGAGCCAATGGAGCCTATAAGCTGGGTTACCTTAATAAAAATAAAATTCAGCTGTTGAAAAAAATGCAACTCTGACAACCCATTGTGGCCTCACAGAGGTTTATGATTATTCACGTGATAACAGAAAGGGATTAGGTTTGGTCCCTTCTTTTTAATCCAGCAATTTTGGATGGCATTTTCATGTGACATTTTACAATCCACATGTCCTTCAAAATCATATCCCCTTCTCTCATCGCAAAATTGACATGAAGTCCAAGGGGATGGTCATGGTGAGAGCTTCCAGTTCTACTGGACAAACAAACATCCTCCTTCCTGTATTTTCTGAGCCAAATGCTGCCCCTCCAGTAGAAAGAAGAATTCTCCAGCATGGAGAATTCCAGCTGGAAATGAGGAACTCCCACGAAGCACTTTGAATGAAATCCTTTAAGGCGGAGAGTTCCAGTAATATTTCCACTGACCTGCCTTTTCTCATTCTCCCAAAGAGGTATCTTTCCACGTCCATAAGGTGATATTCTATCCAGGCAGCAATGCAGGTTCCCAGCTCACAAGTCTTTGTACCACCTCACACAGCCTCTCATTTGCTACAATGTATCGCCAGGCTTTCTATACTACTTTTACCTCTGACAGTCATGTACAAAGCACTACTAGAACTCATCCTTTTTGTTAACAGCAGCACTTCCTCCCCACCCCCCCCAACCCCGGTGACTTATACTTCTCATATATCCTAGGAACCAGTGTCTCATTAGGCAGATTCTGGAGAATAAGTGGAGAGAGGATCCTGGCATCTACAATAATGAAGTACTAATACACGCAGGCTCAGACACAACAAACTTTATCTGGGTTTCTTTCATGTGCCAAATGCTTTTGTGCACACTTTTTGAAAGCAAATACAGCTTCAGTCTATTACAGACCAACAAAATGCAGTATTTGTAAACATGATCATCCCCCAGTGCAACATATTTATTCCATGACTGACAATCTTTCTGAATCTATCCATTGAGGAAGAATGAGCCAATTGTTCATCAGATTTACACATCTGTACCCTCCTGAAGCTTATCGTCTCCATGGGTGCCTCTTGAAATAACCCAAACAGATGTGCATGAGGAACCATGCTGAAGATGAACAGCTGTTTCTGTATTATACACACAGTCAATAGTAAATTCCACTTGATGTAAGTCTGGCTATAAAAATCCAAGGAAGCTTAGCTGTTCAGTAGGGTTTCAATCTGAATTGGGACAGCCATTCAAAAATGTCAGCTGCAATGCTGCCAGTTTATATCGTAGAACTTACACATATTCAGACATGTGGCCATGGTGACAGACAAGAATAAATAAAAGATATGTACATAATAGAGGCTCTTGGGTGGCTCAGTCGGTTAAGCATCGGACTTCGGCTCAGGTCATGATCTCACAGATCATGGGTTTGAGCCCTGCATCGGGCTCTGTGCTGACGGCTCAGAGCCTGGAGCCTGCTTCGGATTCTGTCTCCCTCTTTCTCTGCCCCTCCGCCTCTCATGTTCTATCTCTCTGTCTCTCAAAAATAAAAAAAGTAATAAAATTTTTTTTAAACCACATAAAAAAAGATATGTACATGCACATAAAAATGTAAAATTTCCTTTTATAATCAACTTTTCCCTACAAATGACCTAGATTCCCCCCCTTCTTTTAAGTTTCAGAAGGCACTTACCTTGAGAAAAATCATGAAACAGTCCAGACTTTTTCTCGGCATCCTTATTTTCTCTCCACTCCTTAGTCTTGGTCTGCTAAGACTGCCATAACAAAATACCACAGACTGGGTGGTTTAAACAACAGAAATTTATTTTCTTACAGCTCTGAAGACTGGAAGTGCAAGATCAAAGTATTGGAAGGTTTGGTTTTTCCTGAAGCATCTGTCTTTGGCTTGCAGATGACTGTTTTCTTGCTGTGTCCCCATGTGGCCTCTTCTCTGTGTGTGTGTGCAACCCTGAGTGTCTCTTCTTCTTATAAGGACACCATCCATCTGTGTCCCTTATGACATCATTTAACTTTAATCACCTCCCTAATGGTCTGATCTCCAAATACAGTTATGCTGAGGCATAAAGCTTCAACATACAAATTTTAGGGAGATACGATTCATACTACATCAGGTACCTGGTATTCTATTTCTTTCTTCACTCTCCCTACATGCTGCTCTGCCTCTGTTCCCAGGCAGGAATATTATAAACCCATTTCCATTACTTATAAACATGTAAACATCTGTTGAGGGGTTAAACACATTTAAGTTGGACATGAAGCCTCAGGCCAACGGAAGAACTCAAATCTCTTCCAACAGACAAAGTCATAGAGCTCAGGACAGAACTGGAGTTGGAATCCCCAGGCTCTAAGGATGAGAAAGTAAGCAGCATGCTTGTGTGACAAGAGATTATAATTTTTAAGTTCAGAGTTGGAAAATTAAAGAGATTTTCCCTTGTCTGTCATTCATTTAACCCTTTCTATATTCAAAAATATCAAAAAGATAATTGGAGAGAAAATTACATTCTTGTATTCCCAGATCTCTTTGAGTTGGTCACTGGTGGTTTTTCTGGACAGGTACAGAATATTTCTCAGACTACAGTCTGGGCCTCTTTCTTAGGAGCGCATTTCCAAAACCCTAGGAACAATTCCCAGTGGCCTGGCATTGGGCATACAGAGGGTGTTGACTGGAGGGTTTCCAGTGGGCCACAGCATTGCCCCATTGCTGCAGGTTCACCCTGTGGACCCAATAATCCATCAGAGACTGGTGTCAATCAGTTGCCCAGGCTGTTGTAGCACCTGCTTCCTTCCATTTATAGCATTAAGAACTTTCTTCCTGGGACCAAGCTGCATTTGTATACTCTGAAGATCCTCATCAGAGCAAAGTAACAGAGCTTCTAGATCAATCTGCTCTCTCATGAAAATGGGAAGGAATTCTTCCAGGTGGTGGGACTGCAAAAATACTTCCAGAGGAGTAGCGTCAACCACATCTTCCTCCCACTCCACTTCATCCTCATCCCAAGGCAAATCATCTTCATGGCTGTTTTCCACTCCCTCTTTGTTAGCCTCAGCTTCCTCAGCCTCTGCTGCTCCTTGTCTCTGAAGCAATTCACTGTGCATCTGAAATCCCAACACCCTCTTGCTGTCTGAGAGGTCTTCGGGACTTAATATTCTGTTCCTTCTAAAAACAATATTGCCTAGACCCGGACGGTTAAGAATGGACTCGTGATGCACACCTCCGTCCTCCTTTGCTGACAAATGGAGCTTCTCTTTGAAGTCCTGGGAGAATGTGTCTTCCTCCTCTTCTCTGAACACTTCCATCACATTCCTCTGCCCACTTCTGCTCTCCTTCCCTACCAGCTCTTCTGTATCTTTGTTCTTCTTGAACTTTATCTTGAAGGTGTCTTTAATGCCCTTAGTTGCTGACCCAAATGTACCAGAAGCAGAAGCATTTGAAAGGGATGACCTGGAGAAAGTAGCCTTGGAAGAAGAAAGAGTCCCAGATTCCTCCTTGCTATAGGTGCGAGCCATCTTATGTTGGTGCTTCTCTTGGAGCCTCTCGCACTCTTTGATCTGCCTCCTGGCATTCTTCTGAGCCTGCTCCTTCAGCCTGGTAACTTTCTTGGGGCTCATGATGTTCTGGGCAGTGGCAGCCTTATCCAGGAGAGCAACACATTCATTCTGCTCTCTGCTAGCAGCAGCATCCAGTGGAGACTGTAAGTTGTTGTCCAGGGCAAAGATGTTGGCACCAAAGTTGACCAGGAATGAAACACAGTGGGTATGACCATTGGAGGCTGCATAATGCAAGGGAGTATTTCCCCAGATGTCACATCTATTAGGGTCCCCTCTAGAAAAAATATCAAAAATACACATAATTTTTGTTTCTTAGAACATGAGGTCCAAAATAAATAAATAAATAAATAAATAAATAAATAAATAAATAAATAAATAAATAAAACCAAGATGAACAAAATACATGTTAATCCTGCCTTGGCATTGGTTATAACTTGTGAAAGTCTAAACACATAGAGAAATCAACATGGCCAGAAACAGAAAGAGCCCATCTCTACCCTTTGCTTCCTTTTTAGAAGAAAAGCTTTCCAAGAAACATCCCCCTCCCCCAAAAAAAGCCACTTTCATGTCTCATTGTTCCCAATTGGATCACATGTCTATAGGAAGAGAAATAGAACTACTATAACTTAGGCCAATTAAAAATTTTCCCTGAAGCTAGGGATAAGATTACCCAGTGGCATACTTGTAAATGTTTAACAACTGGCTTACCCAAGAAAAAGATCAAAGCTCTGATTTATGGCATGTGCCAATTTTTGTGTTGTACATACACCCATCATGGCAAAATTCAAGCTACTAATGTGATATTACTGGACACAGTTTGGAAGAGATGTACAGTAACACAATGTTATAAATTATTCCCACCATATATGTAGATATTGCAGATGTGCAAAATCTTAAGAACATAGTTAATAGTAAAATGCACTAAATAATTAGGAAGTGAGAAGTTTTGAGTATTTAAAAATATAATTTATTAACTGATAGGTTAAATAACCTTATTTTTAATAATGACTCTGTTTAACAGACTGAAACTTCCTGAAAATTTAGCAATCATCTCTCATGAGCTGGTAAGAGCTCATTCCCACTCTAACAGTGTTACCACACTGGAGTCACATGTAGGAAAATAAAGAACTGAACAGAACTGGGTTCCCACCAGCAAGAAAGAAGAGGAGAATGGATATTGTGTAGGTACCAAACAGTATCTACTACAACCATTATTCATACAAAGGGTAGAACATATCCATTGATTCCCCAACTTACTTCCATGTAATTACAGTGTCATATATGCGATCAGTTCTGCAACGGCTTATGGTGTAATTGAGGGTACTATCAGATGGGATTAAGGCCAGAGACCCCATGCCAGCATAGAAACAGTCATGCGGTAGGTGCTCAGTAAAGATTTGTGGGATGAATTAATGCCTACTGGAATCTTGCCCCAGGCCACAACCCCACTCCCCCTATGAGATTGTGAGTTACTGGCATTCATGTTGTTTAATATGGCTCTGGCCCAAGCCCAAGCCATTGATGAGGACTCTGAAAATACAGGTACTAAGAGGGATTCTTCCCTCACCCTAGACTACACCCCCAAACCAGGATCCCTCTAAACTTTCCCCAGTCTGGACCCATGGAAGGACAGGAGACAGGTTCTGAGAAGGCCTCTTGACATTCTTGGTGAGTAGGATGTGGAAACAGGAGAGACAATCCGTGCACTTGCAACTGCCACATCAATGCCCTGTGACCCTTCCTCTGTTGCTTGCTACTCAAAGTTTGGTCCCTGGATCAGTAGTAGCAGCTGCAGCTGCTAGTTTGCTAGAAATGCGGAATCTTGGACTGAATCAGAATCCGAAGTTTAACAAGATCCCAAGGTGATATGTAAGTTCCCTGCAGATTGAGAAGAGCTGTGCTAGTTAACGGAGCCTAACCAATGTCCAGTAATTTGATGAATCGGATTTGTAACTCCTCCATGGAAAGCCTTGGTCTCCTCAGGCTTTTCAGTTGTGAAGGTTTATACTTTCAACACCATCACCACCACCCACCATCACCATCTCCTTCTTAAAGAAAGACCAGGATAATTATCAGAGGGGTAAAATGAGGCTCAGAATGGTTAATTGATTTAAGCCTGTTACACAGGCAGCATACTTTGGATCAGGCTTGCCTCCAGGCCTAACGGTCTCCAGCACAATATAGTCTTATGTTAACAGACCTCAAGTTTTTCTACTTTACCAGCTATGAGGCCTCAAGCTTAACTCACTGAGGACTCAGTGTCCTCATCTGAATGAGTGTGAGAATAATTTTCATGGAGTTGCTATGTGAATAAGTTAACAGAAAGCCTTAGAAAAGTGCTTGGTCCATAGTGAATACTCAATAAACATTACCTATTATCATTTCCCTTTTCCCTAAACTCATAATCCCTAATTTCATATATTTATTTTTCCCCACAGCATTATAATAGCTCTTGTGACTTTTGTTAAATGTTTATTTATTTTGAGAGAGAGAGCACAGGGGAGGGACAGAGGGAATCCTAAACGGGCTTTGCATTCAGAGTGGAGCCCGACATGAGGCTCCATCTCGTGACCATGAGCTCATGACCTGAGCCAAAATCGAGTTGGACGCTTAACTGACTGAGCCACCCAGGTGCCCTAGCTCTTGCGACTTTTTAACACTTACAGTCGTACTTAATTTACCCAATATTTATGTCCCAACTCCCTAATGAGATAATATGCCTCAGAGGGCCAAACCTGTGTCTTTTTGTCCTTTGTATCACATCTCCTAGCAGAAGTCTCAGACTCAAAGAAACCAAGCAGGTCATTTAAGCAGCTGAATGGAGCCAAGCTTGTTCTTTCAACAAAGTCATAGTTGAGTGTGAACTTCAATGAGAAAGGATAGCTGTCGCTCAGCAGCAGCTGACTGCTACCTTGAATAAAAGCAGGCACAATTTGGCCAGGGCTTCCATTTTCCACATAGAGCCAGACATCCAGGATTTCATGTGGAATTTTTTGAATTTCAAACGTTGGCTCCAATTTAAAAGAAAAATACAGTGAAATCCAAATAAAACACAGTTTTGGACTGGATCCAGCCCATACTCTGGCAGTTGGTAACCTCCTTCTGAGCAGAGAACAGCATGAACAGATGCACATATGGGTGATGTTAAACATGGCATATCTGAGGAACCAGGAGTATATTTCGGTTGACCAGAGTGCATGGAGATGGGGCAAGGGAAATCAGTGCAAAGAGGAAAGAAAATGAAATTTAATCTAAGGAAAGCAAATATTAAATAAGACCATTCTGTCGGGCTGCTACTTCCAAGAGGTCTGCTCAGTATGCCTGATTTAATTGTTTTGGATCAAAGAAAACCTCTTTCAGTCTTAGTGCAGTTGTGTATCTTAGGGGGGCACAGTGCCTCACCCCCAAAGATGTCGTTTTACATTTTATTTATTTTAACCAAGCACCATATTCAAAAGACTCCTTAAGTACTCTAGACATCAAAGAGGGATTGTAAAAACATCCAAGATGGTACTATAAACATAAACAAAAACATACTGGTTAAATTTGCTTGAAACTATTGGGTTGTGTAAGTTAAAAAAGAAATTATTGAGAGGAGTGAGCTATGGTGGGGATGTTCAGGGTCTTAAGGAGTTTAGGTTAAATCTACATGCTTTGGAACTTATGATCCTTTCAAGATGGAAGGAAGAACATCAAGAAAACCTTGAGATGACCCCAAAGATGTGTCTTGTTCTAAGAAAATTTCAAATGCAAAATTCCAAATTTATAGATGAAACTGTCAGTAAGATGATTTAAAAGTTTCCCTAGTGTATTTAAGTTATTTCCACTTATAAAAATTCTATTTAAAAGCAACTTTCTTGGGTGCCTGGATGGCTGAGTTGGTTAAGCATCTGACTCTTCATGATCTCACAGTTTGTGAGTTCGAGCCCCAAGTCGGGCTCTGTGCTGACAGCTTGGAGCCTGGAACCTGCTTCAGATTCTGTGTCTCCCTCTCTCTGCCCCTCACCTGTTCACACTCTGTCTCTCTCAAATAAATAAATATTAAAAAAATTTTTTTTCAAAGCATCTGACTCTTAATTTCGGCTCAGGCCATGATCCCACAGTTCTTGAGTTCGAGCCCTGCATCAGGTTCTGTGCTATAGCTCGGAGCCTGGAGTCTGCTTCAAATTCTGTGTCTCCCTCTTTCTCTGCCCTTCCCCCAGGTCCCTCTCTGTCTCTGTCTCTCTCTCAAAAATTAATTTTTTTAATGTTTATTTTATTTTAAGGCAACTTTCTGGGGCGCCAGGGTGGCTCAGTTGGTTAAGCAACCAACTTCAGCTCAGGTCATGATCTCGCAATTTGTGAGTTGAAGACTCGCGACAAGCTCTGTGCTGACAGCTTGGAGCTGGAGCCTGCTTCAGATTCTGTGTCTCCCTCTCCTCTTCGTGCTCTGTCTCTCAAAAATAAATAAAAACTTAAAAAAAATTTTTTTAAATAAAGCAACTTTCCAAATTTGTGTATAACTTAAAATATTTTCTAATGACAAATTTCATGGAGACCTTATATTTTTTTTAATGTTTATTTATTTCTGAGAGAGAGAGACAGAGCATGAGCAGGACAGGGGCAGAGAGAGAGGGAGACACAGAATCCAAAGCAGTCTCCAGGCTCTGTGCCATCAGCACAGAGCCTGACACAGGGCTCGAACTTGTGAACTGTGAGATCATGACCTGAGCTGACACCGGATGCCCAACTGACTGAGCCACCCAGGCGACCCTCATGGAGTACTTCTAAATTCAATCTTTGTCTTTCAGTCTTTGGTGTCTTTCATACTTCTTAATAGAATCATTACACATACCTGCCCAGATATTCACAAACTGGTCCCCGTCGTTTGATTATCTGAATCTAATATTGACGCTATAGTGTTTGCCTAGGCTAAATTCAGTCTTGGGTTGGTTTCTTTTCCTATTTCTTTTTTCCAAAAGAGAAACTCACAGAAGAGATTTTAAAATAATCCCCATTTTGCTCTTGATTTTTTGTAGGTCAGTGCATTTGGGCAGTAATTTTTAAAACCGGATTGGTATTATAGTCACTAAATGGGCAACTTGCTTATATTAACTTACTCTGAGCATCTGGTCCACATCATTTTTTCTCTTTTGAAGTTAATTTGTTTTTTGTGAAGCTGTTCTCAGAAAAAAAAAATCAGTCTTTCAAAAATGTTTTTCTACATAAGAAGGAATATTTGGACTTATTAATAATCAAAGAAATATAAATGAAAACAATGTACTACCATTTTCTTGCCCATCAGATAGGCAAGGATTAAAAAGAACAGTAATACTCAGTTTTGGCAGGAGTATGGGAAAATGAACAATGCTGGAGGAATCATAAAGTAGTTCAAATTTCCTGGCACATTATGTGCCAAAAGCTTTTAAAACATAGCACCCTCTTGAATCAATAACTCTGCCTTTAAGAATTTATACTAAGGAAATATTAGACCCTTGTGTAAAGATGAGTAAGCAAGGGTGTTCATCCCAACTTGTTAATAACAGGTGAAAGACTGGATTCAAATTTAAGTGTTATGAACAAGCAACTGATTAAATAAATTATGATGAAACCATAAAAACAGAATACCATATAGTCATTAAAAACCAGTGACATGATGGGGCGCCTGGGTGGCTCAGTCGTTTGAGGGTCCGACTTCGGTTCAGGTCATGATCTCACACTCCGTGGGTTCGAGCTGCATGTCGGGCTCTGTGCTGATGGCTCAGAGCCTGGACTCTGCTTCAGATTCTGTGTCTCCCCCCCTCTCTACCCCTCCCCTGCTCATGCTCTGTCTCTGTCTCAAAAATAAATAAAAACAGTAAAAAAATTTTTAAAAAACAGTGGCATGGGATGCCTGGGTGGCACAGTTAGCTGACTGTCCAACTCTTGATTTCAGCTCAGTTCATGATCCCAGGATCATGGGATCAAGCCCCACATCAGGTTCTGCACTGAGCCTGCTTAAGATTCTCTCCCTCTCTCTCTCTCTCTGTCTCTTTCTCTCCCTCTCCATCTGCCCCTCTCCCCACTCTTCTAAATCCAATCTCTGTCTTTTAGTCCTTGGTGTCTTTAATACTTCTTGATAGAACCATTACACATATTTGCCCAGGTGTTCACAAACTGGTTCCCCTCATTTGATTAGCTGAATCCAATATTGATGCTATAGTGTTTGCCTGGGCTAAATTCAGGCAAATTCTCTCTCTCTCTAATTAACAAAACAAAACAAAACAAAACAAAACAAAACACCAGTGGTATAGATTTCTACTTCAAAGAGCAAATAAAAAACTGAAAGTGAAAATGATCCATAATCTATTGTTAAATAATTAGAAGCAGGTGTCAGAACAGTTTGTATAATATGACTGCCTTTTTTCAGGGGGAAAAATGTATGTGTATGTACATGTCCTCAAAGGAAAAAGTCTGGAAGGATATAAGCCCAAATGTTAATGACTGTGAAAATTGGTTTGATTTTTACTTTATTAAATTTATCTTTGTAATATGATGTAAAATTTTGCAATAAGTATCCTCGAAGAATAAGGGAGGAAGATAACTTAGGTTAAAACAAAAAAAATTCACATACACTTTGAAGGCAAAATGAAATTTTGTATAATTGGTGCCATCTTCCAAGTGTAGGAGAACATATGTAATTATTGCTTTTCATCTTTAAATTTTGAAAAGAAAGGAACACAATTTTTAACAAAGCCAGAGTTTGGGTATTAATAATTACCACATGATCCACTGTCAGTGATCAATGACTGATTAACTTCTAAATTCAATTTTTAATTTATTTCCCTTTTTAACTCCCTTAAGTATAACTGGCAATTGATCTCTCACAGTTCCTGAAAATTGGCTGTGGTCAATATGGGAGCCTAAGAAAACCTGTACAAGATATTTTTTTCAGCCTATATACTCCATGGCAACTTAACACAATGGTGGAACATGGGGTCTTACCTTCCTCTTCCTCTACTCACCAAAACATCCAGTCAACTGTAATTGATCCTACACCCAAACTGCCACTCCAATCCATCCCTGTCTCCCCATTGCCATTGCCACTGCCCTAGTCCAGTTCATCTCTCATCTCAACCATTAAAAGAGCCCTTGAACATTTTCTGTGACTGCTACACAGCTGCCTGAACAAGTTTTGTAAACACAAATCTACCAGATGGCTACCCTGCTTAAACCTGACAATGACTTCCCATGCCGTTAGGATAAAGTTCAACTCCCAAACAGAGTTTACAAGGCTCTTGTGATCTGGTCGTTTCTTATAACTTGGCCTCTCCCCATTAAAGCTGCATCCAGCCATACTCAACTTCAGTGCCTAGAATGCAAAGTGCTCTCACTTGGGAAACATTCTTCCTTCCATCTTCTGGCCAGCTTCTTCTCACCTTTCAAGTTACAGCTTCAATGATCCAGAAAGCCTATCCTCACTCTATGGTTTGGGATAGATGCCTGTGTTATTTATGTAGTGCCCTTTCTTTCCCCCCTTTATAACCAATATCATCTATGACTTGACTTATTTAATTTCTGTCTTCCTCTCTCAAATCTGATCACCATGAGGAGAGGAATTGGGTCTCTCTTGTTGATCAGAGCATCCCCAGTGGCCAATAAAATGGCTGGTACATTGCAAATATGTAAAAGTAAATATTTACTGAATTGAAATTGATTCACTTAGCTCCTTTATTAATGTGTTCTTTTTTCCTTTCTTTACTGCCATCGGGTTATAGTTGCCAACACTGCCTAGCCCTTCTGGTAACATGCAGAAGAAGAGATAGGTAATTCCTGCATTAGAATTTGGGGGAAGTGTGTATGCATGTGTATATATCTGACAGCTAGAGAGATAAGACAGGCTGAAGGTCCCTTGTAAAGCCAACTATTTCATCTAAGAATCATGGCTTGCATTAGGGTTGTGTATTAATAAAAGGCTGTGGATTTTAATGGAATAGATAAAAAAACAACGCATCATTTGTTCCAATCAAAGTTAACATCTTAAAGTCAAGTAAAACAGTGATTTCTTTTTAAGAGTCAACCATTTAAATTTCATGGAAAAGTTTGTTTGTTTGTTTGTTTGTTTGTTTGTTTGTTTTAAAGTAGGCTTCAGACCTAGCATGGAGCCCAATATGGGGCTTGAATTCATGACCCTGAGATCAAGACCTGACCTGACATCAAGAGTCAGATGCTTAACTGACTGAGCCACTTAGATGCCCTTATGTAAAAGATTTTTAAAGACACAAAATTAAAATATCCTCCCCCCCATCCCCCTGCCCCGAGCAGATAACAAAGCCTTAGAGTTCAGGATCTTTCTATGTGTGGCTCATAAGGGATGAGCCATCCCCATGGTACCAGTTCTTGATGTGAAAAGAGCATCTCTAGGCAGTTTTCTCTTTTTCTCTAAAAAGACAATTATTTAGACAATCCATAAAGAACAAAGTATTTTCACTGACTTCCCTGTCTCTTGCTGCTGTCTGTAAACTCCTACCATAAACACTGTTTACAGTAGAAACCATCAGGTTGAACTTACCCTCTGCTGCAGATTATTTCTAGGGCTTCCAAATTCCCATGGTAAGCTGCCAGGAGTGTGGGAGTCATGCCATCTTCATCAGAAAGATTCAGATCTCTCTTGGTAGCCTCTTTCAAAAGTTCTAAGTAGCTATCACTAGCAGCTTGGTGGTAGCGAGTGGACATTTTTCCAGCCCACCTAAGCCCAGCCAGATATTGCTCTCCAGGCAGATCAGGTTGTTGGTGAAGTAGCCTTCCTGCAAAGCTGGTTAATAAGTAACAAGGAAGAGTGTCACCTCAGGACAAAGGTCATTCCAGCCTCCTCCATGGAAGGCAGCCAGAAAGGTTCACAGCACTGAACTTGGACCTTTCCTTTCTGGCATGGCCATGACCTGGAATAGTAAGGAATGCGGGGCTCCTCTTGAGTGTTTTAAGCCACATTTAATTTTTTCTGTCCATTAGCATGTCTTGAATGTAGTATTGGTCATCTAGGCACAGAATGTACAAAATAATTTCCAAACAATTCAGAACTAGTCTAGTTCACTGGGGAGGTCTACTTTAGAAACTATTTTATTGAGGTATAATTTATACACTATGAAATTCACCCCTTTTAAGTGTGTAATTCAATGATAGTAAATTTACACAGTGGTTCAAGCATCACCACAATCCAATTTTAGAACATATCTATCACCCTCAAAATATCCCTCATACTCATTTGTAGTTAATCCCCATTTCCCCTCCCAACCCCAGGAAACTACTAATCTGCTTTCTGTCTCTATAGATTTGCTTTTTAAGGGAATTTAATATAAATGGAATCATAAAATATATAGTCTTTGTGTTTAGGGTTTTTTTTTTAGCTTCACATAATTTTCTGAGGTACATTCATTTTTCAGTATATAACAGTACTTCCTTTTTATTGCTGAATAATATTCTACTATAGAAATATACCAAATGTTCATGATTCATCCAATAGCTGATGGACATTTAGATTGTTTCCCCTTTTTGTTTTTATGAATAATGCTTCTAAGAACATTCACACGCAAGTCTGTGTGGACATATATCTTTATGTCTCCTGGGTTTATAGCAAAGAGTGGAATGGCTGGGTTACATGATGATTTATATTTAACTTTTTCAGAAATTGCCAGTGTTTTTCCAAAGTCACTGTACTGTTATACATTTCTACCAGCAATGATTGGTGATAATTTCTCCATATCTTTGCAGCCTTTGTTGCCTTTTTGCTTATAGCCATCCTTAGCGGATGTGAAGTGGTATCATTATGGTTCTAATTTGCATTTCCTAATGATTAATGATGTTGAGCATGTTTTCATGTGCTTATTAGCCATTCTTACATCTTATCTTTATTAAATTGTTTGCCCATTTTTCTCATTGGGTTATTATCTTATTATTGAGTTACAAAAGTTCTTTATATATATTGAACAAAAATCCTTTATCAGATCTATTTTGAACTGAATGAAAATGAAGACACAACATCTCAGAATTTTAAAACAGAGCTTGGCCCAAATGTCCATCAACTGATGAATGGATTAAGATGTGGTATATATGAGGTGCCTGGGTGGCTCAGTTGGTTAAGTGTCTGACTTCGGCTCAGGTCATGATCTCACCGCCCATGAGTTCGAGCCCCATGTCAGGCTCTGTACTGACAGCTTAGAGCCTGGAGCCTGCTTTGGATTTTGTGTCCCCTCCCTCTCTCTCTGCTCCTCACCTACTCACACTCTGTCTCTCTCTCTCTCAAAAATAATAAATAAACATTAAAAAAAAGATGTTATACACACACACACACACACACACACACACACACACACACACACAGTGGAATACTACTCAGCAATGAAAAAGAATGATATCTTGCCATTTGCAACAGTGTGGATGGAACTGGAGGGTATTATGCTAAGTGAAATAAGTCAGTCAAAGAAAAACAGATATCACACGATTTCACTCATATGTGGAATTTGAGAAACCTAACAGATGATCATAGGGAAAAGGAAGGAAAAATAAGATAAAAACAGAGAGTAAGGCAAACCATAAGAGACTCTTAAATAAAGAGAATAAACTGAGGGTTGATGGGGGTCAGGGGTGGGGAAAATGGGTGATGGGCATTAAGGATAGGACTGGTTGGGATGAGCCCTGGGTGTTATATGTAAGTGATGAATCACTGGATTTTACTCCATGACTACACTGTATGTTAACTTGAGAATAAGTAAAATAAAAATAAAAAATGTAAAAATAAATAAAACAGAGCTTGGGGGAGAAATTAACAGTTTTTAATGCCTGTATTAAAAAAAGAGAAATATCTCAAATCAATAACTTAAACTCCCACCTTAAGGAAAGGAGGAAAACATGGAAAAATTCGTGCAAATAAAGAACACAATGTAAGACCAAAAACATGGTCCAAATATCTGTGTAAAACAAATAAGTGTAAATGGACAAAATTCACCAGTTGGAAGACCCAGCTATATCTTATTCACAACAGACACAGCTAAAATATAAAATTGCAGAAAGAATGAAAGCAAAAAATGGAAAAGTTTTATCAAGAAAATACTGACAAAAAATGGTATATCTATATTTATATCAGACAAAATATAGTTTAAGCCAAAAAATTACTAGGGATAAAGAGAGATGATGAAAGGAACAATTCATCAACAAAATATAATAGTCCTAAGCTTGTGTGTACCTAATAACATAGCCTCCAAATAGAGAAAACAAAAAATAATAGAACTGGAACAGAAAGAGCAAATCCACAATCACAGTAGGAGATTTTAATTAACTCTCTTAATATTATATATATAATGATAATGTTAATTCACCCTCTGTATATCATACACACACACACACACACACACACACATATATATATTAGGTTAAAGATTAGTAAAAATATAAAATATTTGAACACAATTAAAAGCTTGACTTAACAATCCTATATATAACTCTATACTCAATAGAAAAAGTGTGTTCTTTTCAAGTACACAGAAATATTTATAAAAATTGCCCACCTAGAATGCAAATTGGTGCAGCCACTCTGGAAAACAGTGCAGAGGTTCCTCAAAAAATTAAAAATAGACCTACCCTATGACCCAGCAATAGCACTGCTAGGAATTTACCCAAGGGACACAGGAGTACTGATGCATAGGGGCACTTGTACCCCAATGTTAATAGCAGCACTCTCAACAATAGCCAAATTGTGGAAAGAGCCTAAATGTCCATCAACTGATGAATGGATAAAGAAATTGTGGTTTATATACACAATGGAGTACTACGTGGCAATGAGAAACAATGAAATATGGCCCTTTGTAGCAACATGGATGGAACTGGAGGGTGTTATGCTAAGTGAAATAAGCCATACAGAGAAAGACAGATACCATATGGTTTCACTCTTATGTGGATCCTGGGAAACTTAACAGAAACCCATGGGGGAGGGGAAGGGAAAAAAAAGAGATTAGAGTGGAAGAGAGCCAAAGCTCTCTTTGAGCCAAAGCATAAGAGACTCTTAAAAACTGAGAACTGAGGGTTGATGGGGGGTGGGAGGGAGGGGAGGGTGGGTGATGGGTATTGAGGAGGGCACCTTTTGGGATGAGCACTGGGTGTTGTATGGAAACCAATTTGACAATAAACTTCATATATGGAAAAAAAAATTGCCCACCTAATAAAACCAGTGCAGGCCTCAATAAGTATCAAATGATAGATTTCATGCAGACCATGTCCTGTGAAGACACAGCAATAAAATTAGAACCCCTCATCCGATACAACTGATAAACTGTATAGATATTCTCTTGAAGTATATATTTTACATAGTTTTTATCATCAAATACATACATTTTTGCATTGTCTTTTCCTCTCTTTAATCCACCATAAGTATTTCCCATATTGTTACAAAACCTTTAATATGTTTGGATAATAGTCCATGGAATTGAGGTGAGGAAGATCTATTTTCAAAGTCTATAACTCTTTATTCTTCTTATCTCTTTTTGTCTAAGCCTTTATTCCAAGATAAATTATCTGTCAACTTTGAGAAAGTACAAAGCTTTCATCTGCAAGTTTCTCACGATAATTAGCTCCAAGAGTCAATGTTTGTTCCTTTTTCTGGTTTCTATGAGAACCAGTAGAAGCTGTAGAAGCAACCTGGAGGACACTATTATTTATTTGTAAGGAGGGAAAAAGAATTTTTTTAAGACTGCAGAGAGTGAAATATTCAAACGTTATTATGGATACTGTGAGAACAACTAATTTTTTCATGAGCTACTTTAATTTAGACACAATTACATTCATGAATATATTCTAAAATAGAAAATCATATATAATCTGACAGAGGGCTTCTCAAAGATCAATTAATTATCATGTATATAATTATAAACTATATTATTAGCTTATAGAAAGCTAAGTGCCAATCAAATGAGGAGTCTGTTACAAGATGAAGATGATGATAAAGATAATGTGATAATGATGGGGAGAAGGAGAATGATAAAGATAAGGATGGAAGCAAAGATAAAGGAGGACAGAGCAATCATTCATATAGGAAGAAGGGTTAGAAATGGAGGAGAAGGAAGAGTTTCTCAACTCCAGTAGCACTTATGACTTGGACTCAAACTCTCCTGTGAAATGGTAAGACACCTGAGCTGTTTGTTTTAATATTTTTAAATGGTATTTAAATATCCTGGCACCCTTTGGCATTTCCTTGGGAAAACCCCTTCCTTAAAAGAAGAGTGTGTTGGGGGGGCGCCTGGGTGGCTCCGTCGGTTAAGCAGCCGACTTCGGCTCAGGTCATGATCTCGCAGTCCGTGAGTTCCAGCCCCGCGTCGGGCTCTGTGCTGACAGCTCAGAGCCTGAGGCCTGCTTCAGATTCTGTGTCTCCCTCTCTCTGACCCTCCCCTGTTCATGCTCTGTCTCTCCCTGTCTCAAAAATAAATAAACGTTAAAAAAATTAAAAAAAAAAAAAAAAGAAGAAGAGTGTGTTGGGAAGGTGAGGTGAAGCAGAAACAGATCCTGAACTTGAAGATCCTCCTTACACCATTCCCTCAAGTGGAGATTGACAGAGAGGGTTGAAATTAGACCTAGAAGACCTGAAGTCCATATATTCTGGAAGAACTTACTGCATCTATTTGAGTTTCCATTTCTTTGTGAATAAAATTGGAGGATATTGCTCATGACCATATTATCATCTAAACTTA